TTTTTCTTTTTGCTTATGTGGTGCTGAGGAATCGAACCCAGGGCCTCATGCATGCAAGGCAAGCGCTCTACCACTGAGCCACCTTCCCAGCCCTGTCCCCAGCATTTCTATCATGTGTTTGTCCCAGGCACTTAAGAGTTTGTGTTTTTCTTTGTTAAAACTGAATAATAATCCACATGCTATACTTTCCTCATTCGCATGTTGTTCAGTGAACTGCGTATATGGTATGTTAGTGTGCCCCTCAAACCATGAGCCGTGGAGCACCCTGGGCAAGGCCTTCCTCTCCTGTTCCTCCCCTGTCGGTCCCAGGCTCTTCTGCTCTTGACTTGCCTGCTTCAGACGTATTATGCAGACGCTGCACAGACTTGGCTGCTTTCATGCAACACAGTGTTTGCCATGCTCAGCAACCTGGTACCATGTGTCAGAATGTCACTGCTTATTGCCAAGAATTTATGTCTTTCAAATGAGGTCATTTCTTTTTTCCCCTTCTTCAGAACCCAAAAATTCTACTTCTGGATGAAGCAACCAGGTGAGATGTCTCTGACACAGTCTGTGTGAGCGTGTTAGAGGCCCCTCAGTGACAAGTCCGTGTGAGCATATTAGAGGCCCCCCAGTGAGATGTCTCAGTGACACGTCCATGTTAGTGTATTAGAGGCCCCTCAGTAAGGATGTCTCCTGTGTGTTAGAGGCACCCCAGTTACGTACATAATCATTGACGTGTGTGGCTAAAGGGAATCTCTACCACATGTGTGACTGTGTTAGAGGATGTCTTATATTTACAGTTGTTCTAACCATGTTCTCCCTTTACCAGAACTGTAAATGTCCCCTTCAAGGCAGTACAATAGAAAATGTGTTCCCCTACATGTCACTAGTGACAGGCGGGAAGTCAGGTCATGAGGGGTTTGAGCTCAGGGTCAGGCCTACCTGCGATGGGTCCTGATTGGCGGCAGTCAGCACTCCTGTGGAGAGCCTTTCTGGCCCAATTTCAGCATAAATATATAGACAAACATGCTCCATGCTACCTTTTTACAGCATCCTCAGATACAGCAGTGGAATTTCAATCAGAGGAGACACTGCTCAGTGTGAGATAGGAGGCATGTGAGCAAATGGTATGCATGACACTGACCGCTTTGCTTCCTATCATATGTGACCTGTCCGTGACAGTGCACTAGATGCTGAGAATGAGCACCTGGTCCAGGAGGCTCTGGATCGACTGATGGAGGGAAGAACCGTGCTAATCATCGCCCACCGTCTGTCCACCATTAAGAATGCTAACCTCATTGCTGTTCTCAACCAAGGAAAAATCATTGAACATGGGAAGCATGAAGAACTGCTTTCAAAACCAGATGGCATATACAGAAAACTAATGAACAAGCAGAATTCTATATCAGCATAAAGAAGCAGCTGCTACAGAGGCCTGGGGTGTATGGCCTGTCATCCCAGGGGGGCTTGCCAGTTTGAGGCCAGCCTAGGCTACAGAGAAAGATTCCAACTTAAAAAAAAAATCTTAGAGATTGTATGCAATCTGTGAATTATTCACAGATTATTGAAACATGCCTATTTTCCCAAAGAACGTAAACTATTGTTTCAAAATATACTGTCTTTAAGACATCTTTATTCATAGTCTTAATAATTGTAACTTTGTAAACATCTATAGCACTGAAGGTATTTTTAGGTCTTATAGTTTTTATCTTGGAACATTTTACTACATCATGACACCTCATTTTCCTATGCCTGCTGTAAGAGATTGAAGCTGGCAACTTTTAAAAGGGCATTATAAATAAAGCCTCATTATTGTAGGTTGGTTTACCATTCACTGGGGCTCACCTACCTAGGGCCTACTTTTTCTGGCAGAGTAATGAGAAGTAAAGATGTAAGCCCGGATTGTGTCCCGAGCAGCTCACAACAGGAACCTACCTAGCATACCAGCAGCAACAGTGAATTGGTTAGATGGAGAAGGGGCTGTCGGTCCCTTTGCCTCAGTGTCTTCAGAGATACAGGTTCCTGTGGGCAATGGACAAGTTTAAGTATGTGCAGTTCCCAACGTTTTGGCAGGTGAAAGTCTGCATTTACAAAGGGAAGAATTTCCACCCTTTGAATGGGAAAGCTTTTTTTCCTTTATTCACATATTTGTTTCTATGACTACTTTGGGGAACCAAGGCATAAATAAACCAGTATTATTAAGAAAGATGGATAAAAATGAATTTTTCAAAGTTGCCGGAGGCATGTATTCTCAAAATTTCTGCTTAAAAACCCAGTTTTTACAATTTTTTTGAAATTTCATTGTATCTGGATACAAGCGCCAATTTTTAGCCTTAAGACATGTGAGGATAGCTGCTACGTCCTTACTACTGTGGCCCTGACATTTAGGACATTAATGTCCTAAAAGGACATTAGAAACTTATCATTATCTTCTGCTTCACACTTCGTAAAGGTCTGAGTGCTGCAGACTTGCTTTTGCCTCCAGAACAGCACTTTCCTGTACTAACGATGCCGGAGCCTTAGGGAGACTTAGGTTGGTGCCTATGCCGTTCCCTTAATGCCCGCTGTCCCTGACTACACTGGAAGAAACTACGATTTCATCGGACTAATGGAGTTTTACATTTTATTCTACAGGAGGGAGTGTATTAATGAGTTAAAAGGATTCAATGGGTGAGTGAGCATAGTGATTTTTTTTTCCTCTTTGTGCCCGTACCAAGGATTGAAGTCTCAGCTTCATCAGTCATGACTGGCATATACAACTTGAGCCATATCTCCAGTCTGGCATTTTACTAATTGGAGGTGTAATCTTAAGGACTTTTCTGCCTGGGCTGGTTCTGACCTTTAATCCTTCAACTCTTAGCCTCCTGGGTAATCAGTTACAGGTGTGACCCACTGATGCCTAGTGTGTAATGTTTAGTAAATACCACATCTGTGACAAGCATTTTAAGAAGCTGTGTTGTGTGTGTGTGTGTATGTGTTGGGCTTGAACTCAGGTCCTGAGAACTTGAAGTTTGTGCTCTATCACTAGAGCCACAATTTTACTTTGGGCTTTTTAGTGGCTCATTGGAGGTAAGAGTCTCACAGCCTTTCCTTACTAGGCTGGCTTTGAACTGCAGTCCCCAAATCTCAGCCTTCTGAGGAGCTAGGAGTACAGGCGTGATCCACTGGTACCTGTATTTATGTAGTTTTGCCTTTATAGTGTGGTTTTTGGAAGGCAAACAAAATACAGCTAGTCTGAGGGGAATCCCTTTGTTCCACAGACATATGTACAACATTGAATTTGATCACTCTATTTTGTTTTCTAATGTAAGATTATTTGTGTCTAACATTTTTTATCACCGATTAAAATTTATAATGAACTTTATGACTGTCCCTTCTTACAAGTTTCATATCATATTATTTCTTATTGGAATTTGCTATGGAGATTTGGGAATAAAGAAACAATCTAACAAGCAAGTAGGGATCACAGCTGGAACCCCTTCCTCCTTGTGGGAGATAGTTGGGTCCCCAGTGTTTGCTGTCTAGTTGTTTCACTTAGTAGCCACCTCTGCCAGGGACCAGGAGCTGATGACAGGACTCAGGTCTCCCCTTAAAGCGCTTCTAGTATTGAGGGGTGGGGTGGGGTGGGGGAGAGAGTTAGGCAAAATTAGTAACAATAGTCAAAATGCTACAAAAGTGCTGTAGCGAGCACTGTTGTGGCACCACTTGGTTTCTAAGTGTTTGCACATCACCATATTTGCTGCTCTGAGAGTTCTGTGAGTTGTCTTATTTTACAGTAGAGGAAATAAGCACAGGCAAGTTGTGAATTAATGAGCATTGAGGGTATGTGCAGTTTCAGGTAGAGTAGAGAGAGAAGATACTGGACCAAATCAGGTGTGCTTTAGTTCTGGCCTCCCGTCCCAGAGACCCCTAGACAACCCCGATCTCCCGTCCTGGAGACCCCACGACAGCCCCGGCCTCCCGTCCCAGAGACCCCCCGAGGCCCCTTCAGCCTCCCGTCCCGGAGACCCCGAGACAACCCCGGTATCCCGTCCCAGAGATCCCGAGACAACCCCGGCCTCGGTCCCAAAGACCCCCTAGAAAACCCCGGCCTCCCATCCCGGAGACCCCGAGACCCACAGCCTCGCAGAGACTGTAGACCGCTGACCTTCCCGGGCTCGCTCTGCAAGAGCTAGGCCTTTCGCGCTCCAGCGCGCCCATCTCATCCCAGCCACGCCCCGCGGCGACGCTTCTTGACATCAACGCTGTGCGTCCTCCTCCCTCAAAGACCGGGCGCGGTGCTTTCGTCATCGCTGTGAGCTCGCTGGCCCCCTCGGAACACGCCCCCCGGCTTGGAGCGTCGCGTCGCGCAGGGGCACTGGCGGAGCGTCTTGACGTGTGACGTCTTGACGTCCTCGGCAAGCGCCTCCCCGCCCCCTGGGCGTTCAACTCCGAGCGCGCAAGGCCCGCGCTTCTGAAGCAGTCCGCAGCGGCCTTCTGCAGTCATGTTCCCGGCTGTCCCCTCTCCGCGGACCCCGGGCCCCGGGCCCAGGAGAGCCCCCCTGGCCGGAGTTGGGCCAGCGTCCACACCCCGCGCGGCCGGCAGGCGAGGTCTGCCTGTGGGGGCTGCCGGCGGCTCCCCGGCGCTCTTCTCGCCGGTAGGCCGGCGGAGCTCTCTGAGCTCCAGGTAGGTAGGTGGTCGTCTGGCCGGGTCGCGCCCTGCGGACTCGGCCCTTCGCCCGTGCGTGGCGGGGGCGGGCACTGGGAAGGATACGGGCCTTTACTTGGACTGGGTTATCGGTTGACTCGCAGCTCTTTGCGTCAGAAACTCCAGTTCCTACTTCAGGTTAAGCTCTTTCTAGGTGAGAGAGCAAAACGCAGGCATTTTAGTGCTACTACCCTCTTTCTGGTGTTCCAGTCTTAATAAGTCGTCCACAGTTGACAGTGCAATCATGATCACACGTTTCTTTGTGGTGTTTTGTTATGGTTGTTATTGTCGTTCTATCCAAACTATTTGACATTTGATGGACGGCTACCTGCCGGTGGCCCACGAACCAAACGCATCTCCGAATGAGCCAGATGAGCAATTTGTTTTAAATGAAGACTATGTTCCGTGTTTCTTTTTCCAACTCAGCTTGTAAGATACCCAGTGTATTTATCTGTGGGCAACAAGAAGTGTTAGCAAGACGTCTTTAACTTCCATTTCCTGCATGAGGAGCAGGAAATGTTTCTCCTTTTTACATGGGTCCTTAACCCTTTAACCCTGTTTCACTAAAATCCTTGTGAAAACTTTAGAGTCTCTGCAACTGCACATTTTCTTCCTTGTTTACTAGGTAGAAATTTTCAATCCTTCATTTTGCAGTATTGGGAATCAAACCTAGTGCCTGCCTGTACATGCTAGCCAAGCACTGTATCACTGAGTTAAAGTTTTAGCCTACCTAGCAATTCTTACAGTGTACCACAAACAGGATTAAATTGAAGAATATTGAACAAATGGGCCTAGAAGTTTTTCTTTCTTTTTTTTTT